ATTTCTGTTACTAGTGTGGTTTGTATTGTCTTTGTGTGCTGATGCTCTATAAATAAAGCCTGTTGTTTTTACAGTCGTGCTTTTAACTTTCATTTAGCAGCCGAATTTGTATTTAATGTCTCTTTTATGTTATGCGTGTAGGAGTTGATACCTAGTTTTAACGCTTATTTATCATTTCCTGAAACTAATGATTAAAGCTCATCAAATAGAAAACTTGCTAAATCAATTCATTTTATTGTTAAAATATTTTCATTTCATTTAAGAACATTCTTGAACCTAATTATATCCACGAAGGTAGGAATTTAAACTGCAAAACATAAATGCTTAAGAAAGAAAAATCTTTTGCTATTGGTTGAAAATCGTGACTAGACCCAGATATGGACCCAAATTACATTTTTTGTCACATATCATTCACTTGATTATTTTTAATGGAGTCTACTACCCAATTTTCAAATCTTTTCTACCTCGTTCTCCCGAACTCTCCTGTAATGTGCGGCCGGGATATTGGTAAGGTTCAACGCTCTGCCGGGCGACCCTCGCAGCGCCATTATTGCGCCCTTTTCCTGGCCCTGTTTCTGAATCTTCACGGCCGTAGCACTTGTTAGAGATAGATGAATTGGATATTCTTCCACGGCTCGGTTCTACTTGTATGCGGCTGTATCTGCCACTGCCTGCGTCGGGCTCGGCTCTCATTTTTACTTTTGGCTCGGTGTTTTCTTCACAAAACTAAAGCACTGAAGCCTCGCAAAAATAAAGTATAACTAAAATTTTATTTTTATTGTGATTTTATGCCTCAATTCCACGTTTCCCACAGAGCCTCCATGGTTTCCCGTACGCGGGCGCGAGATGACGGCCCAGGTGCGAGGAACGGCTGTGTTGGAGTGCAGCGTTAGGGGAGACGCTCCGCTGGCGGTGCAATGGCGCAGAGACGGCCAAGTCCTGCCACTAATCGGCTCAAAGTAATGCAGCATTTTTAATAATTTATTTATAGATTTTAAAATAGGTTTTGCTCATAGATATAAGTTCACTTTTTAGGCTCATGAAGGCTCGAGTCAATGTCTGCAAGCATTTGAACTTTTAAATAGTCTCATGTAAGTGTGGCCGTAAATAGCCATATATTTCTTCCTTAGATCTTCCTTATCTTCTTGCCGCATTTCTAACTTTGTTCCACATTCCCACAGGTACAGCGTTGAACAAGAACACGGGGAAGAAACCACAAAGTTGAAGTTGATACTGAATGACGCATTGGCTTCTGATGGCGGAGCCTACGAATGTCAGGCATCGAACCTGCATGGCTCAAACAGCTTGGTTTACTCCCTAGTCGTGCGAGGTAAGAAACTGATTATCTTCGACAGTTGTAGAAAATCGTTTTCTTTTGTTTGTGCATTTTTAATTCTGCGGCAAGATAACTTAACACGGAACGCACAGACTTGATACTCGGAATTCGAATCAGGAAAGCAAATACAATGCATGTGTTGTCTGGTAAAGACCAAACGAGTACTCATACCGACCAGTAGTTTAATTTGGTAACAGGGCCTAATAAAGCCAGGAATAAATCTTTTCTATTTTATAGTCGGCTCCGCTAACATCTTGTAGAGATTCAACGTACCAAAATTCCGACTGACACTTTAATTTGATTTTAAGAGTTGCTCAAAATGAAATTTGCAGAAGGTAAAAATCAAAATCTTCCATTTTTTCCAGTTTTTATTATCAACAGGAAAAGTTTCACCTTGTCAAAATTTAGTTTCATCTTTTCCTCTTGGAAATCAGACACTGAGATTATGGCTGTGCCTTAACGAACAAAGTCAGACCTCATTTCTCACCCTTCACCCAATTTTCATCATTGAGTCATTATTGAGTTAATTGTTTTGGTAGCGTGCCTGCTTTCCATTGGCTCCATTGTCCTTGCCGTTGAAGGCGTTTGTCTCTTGATCAACCGAAGTGAGGAAGTGAAAACAAAAATTGCCATTCGCTTTCGGTTACAGAAACTACTAAAGTTATCAAAATCAAAATCGTTTTAGTTATTTATAGTCCAAAAGTCCTTAATTTTCTCCCGTCTTTCGTCGTTAAATTATTCCAAACTTGTAAAACTACTTTTGAATTATAGGTTCGAAATTAGTACTACTTCGAGGAGACCAAAGATATGAAATAAAATCAATTTTTTTATAAAATGCTGGCATAGGAAGTGCAATTGATTACTTAGAACTCTAACAATCTACAAATTTATAAATTGTATTTTTCCACTTTTTTTCAGAAATCTTTCTATCATATTATTTTCATTTTAGGATAAGTCAAAGGAGAGAACGGGCGCACAGGCATTGTCTTATCACTTCAGAATTGCCAGTAACAAACAAATTTGAATTAATTTAAAGCGAATACTTAGAATTAAAGTAATTTCAATTTTTACTAAACACTTTTTGATATACATAAAATACACGTGTGTCGTACTAAAAGCACGCCCCGAATTGTCTAATGTAAGGTACTATATTCTATTATAGCAGTAAAATGAAAATTAAATGCTCTAAAGATGATCATGGTATTATGGTTTGCTTAAAACTTCATTGACATTTTATGTACGAGCTTACGCATTATGAAGGTAACCACATTGAAGGACCTAATACACAATTATCCCATTATTAATCTATTTAAAAAACATTTAATAGATTTGATCTCAAACCGTATTATATGCCAGATGTCCCGTCAGCTCCAAGTGACGTCAAAGTTTCAGAGAAAGGCGCTCGTTTTATAGCTCTTGAATGGTCGGCTTCTGCTGAGCATGCCTCCGTACCTGAATCATCAGATATCAACTTTATCGTTTTCTACGCCACCGTTGAAGGTATTGTTTTGAGACTATACTTTCGTATGATTAGTTTTCAGATGTTTTGGTTTTGCCTTCTGAAGTCTGTTTATATCTTGGTCTCATGAATCCTAGTGAACTAAGGTTTTACTTAGTGCCTATCTGTCCGTTAGCAGCCATTTATTTGTAAAACGAATATTTCTACTACAATTTACTCAGTGCCCATTTGTCCGTCAGCCGCCATGTATTTATAAAACATATATTTCTACTGCAAAGGTTCATATAAAGAAATAAAAGTCCCGACCAACTTCGCCCGAATCACCGGTCTTGATCCCGCGACGCGTTACTTGTTGCGCGTGGCGGCCGAGAACAACGTAGGCAGGAGCGCCGCTACGGAGGTGCTCATGGCGACGACACTGGAGGAACCTCCCACGGGACCCCCGAGGAATATGAAGGTGAGTGATACACAAGAAGACTTAAATGATTGGTCAATGGAGACTGTTCGTATTACAGTTTAAACTTTAGAGCATAATAATTTCGCGTAATGATAATGCGGAATTTTTTTCGAGGATGTGACCGAGGCATATGCGCCTGCTGACTGCTGTTAATGCTGCTACTTTATTTCAGTGTTTCAAAAGGGGATGATTCTTGATCATTCTGCAAAAATCTAACTATTCATTAGGGTTCTTCGTTTGTTAATGAAAAAAAATCCATTCGCCAGCATTACTTCCCTATTTTTTTTCAGGTCGTAGACGTTTCGAAACGGAGCGTGGTGCTGCGCTGGGAGGCACCATTGGCAAACTCCACCAACGGCCTTATACGTGGCTATATTTTAGGGTATCGCAAGAACAGGTGAAATAGGAATACAAAATAATATACAACAACTTAATCAGTTTGTAGGGAAATTTATCTTATTGCGAACTACTATAGTGAGAATTGTATCCCATGCGTTCAAGAAACTATTATATATTATAATGCTTCGATATCAAACCTTCAATTTAATTCTAATATATAAGGTGAATATACTTTCGCTCAGCTTCAGTCATCGAGGGGATTCACTGAGCTACAACTACACAGCGATACCAATAAAAGGCCCTTTTAAACTGTCATCGGGACTGCCCTCGGTCTTTCCCGATCCAGAAAACCGTTCAAGCGAAATAAATTCTTCGACGGTTACAATCAGTGATGTTCGAATATCAGACTCGACAATTGAGGTTTCTATGGACGGCTTGAGACCACACTCCCGATACGCACTCACTGTTCAGGCCTATAATTCAGAGGGCACGGGTCCTTCAACTCCTGCGATCACGATCAGCTGCTGGCTAAACATGAGTTTTAATGTTTGCTATTGATAGGCTTCGATTATGTTTAGAAATTTCTCCCTTTTCCTTGTCGTGATATTACCGAACTGATTCTGATTATTCATTTACTGATGAATTGTCTAACTTGGTTAATGCAGTCCCTAGCTCACCTCCCGAGAAAGTTATGTGCGAGGCTATAAGCTCGTCCGAAATTTTCGTAACGTGGACACCTCCACATCCTGACGGTGCCAACGGCAGGATCGTCAGCTACAGAGTTCATTACGGTAAGACATTGATATCGAGTTTCTTGAACCTGCTCTCAGAAGCCCGATTGCATTCACAATTATTGTCATAATCTAAGTTGAGAGTAGAGTAGACTTGAAGTGATGAGTGGACGAGCAATTTCTTTTCCTAAGGAGATATTAGACAACATTCGAGCCTCTAATTATTCACCACATAGACTGTATCTAAACGTGAGGCTCTTGGACTAGCACTGTTGACGGTGTTTAGCAAACAGGCTATTATCATACAGAACATTGCTATCGTAACATGGCTCTATTGCCCTGAAAATTTCAACCAATCAAATCAACCGAAAACGCTTGAAATCCTGCTTAGTCAGTACAGAGTCGCATTGGTTGAACACAATACGTCATGAAATCGAAAAAAAACCTGTCGGTCGGTAAGCTAAGTTAATTTGGAGAAATGTTTTGCATAATTATCTGTTATAAATGCATTTTTATACTTTCCAGAAAAATCGGAGAATATAAAAGGTATCGGAGTCTCCAGGAGTATCAGTCAAATCACTCCTTTAAGGAGTCTACTTCCCAGTCACCACGAACAAAAATTCACGAACAGAGAAATAAGTCCAAATTTCAGACTCGACTTTGAACCAGAAGCACCACATTCAGCCCCTGAACCTCCTGGCGAGGTGCTGGTGAACGACGGTCTCGAAACTCGCCTCACGTCCCTCAGGGCCTTCAGCAACTACAGCGTGACCGTAGCCGCCGCCACTGCTGTGGGAGTCGGAGTGCCCTCTACGCCCATCAGTTGCGCCACAGCTGAAGGAGGTAAGACCATCACCAACTTCCCGCACGTTCTTCTATGTTTAATTCCCGGTTTTATTAATTTTTTATCTTACATACCTCCGAAAACTTTTCGAAATTACGGAAAAAATTTCCAGAGGCATTGAATTTTAATCTTTCACTTAATTTGACAGTGCCGACAGCTCCCACTGCCGTCAAAGTGGTCCTTAGTAGTAAGAGGAAAGCCATTGTATCGTGGCGACCTCCTGACTCTCCTCGGGGGCGCATCACGCACTACGCGGTGCAGTGGCGCCCGGTGGTTGACAGTGGAGGGAACACACAAGAAGTTACAGTACCTGGCGACAGCCAGCACTGCGAACTCCTGGACCTGCCTTTCGATGAGACTGTCCAGGTGAGTAGAAATAGGGAATATAGGTGAGAACATATGCAGATAATAATTTATCGATATTTTAATTTTTCCTTAGTTATTTTAAAGGAGAAATAACTGTGGTTTTCGTTGTGTACTTTTTGATTTGAGGGTAGATCCCAATCATTGAATTACCGCGTACCAAATATTAGAACATCAATGGACTGCTTAAGAGGAACATTATTCGAACTTGAGCGATTATTATTTTTTTGTGAGCATTGAGCAAATTCAACCAGGGTACTTACATCCCAACGAGCCAAAGATTCCGTCTATCTTATCAAATGTAAAGGCGGTTGTAAGTTGTTGAATGAGTGACAAATTACGGATCAATATTTATCCAAAATATTTTTAGCATTCTGCTTGCTTTCAAGGTTGTGGTGCTAGGATACACCAGAGTAGGAGCTGGTGCCGCTAGTCAACCAGCGAGCATCGTTGTCTCAGATACTAGTGAGTAGTCTGAGTGAACAGACCGATGTGGTTATGCCTTTCATTGAGTGATATTGAAAGTTCGTTACCGGTTAAGCGTAAGTTATATATATCATGCATCGAATTAAGCTACAAATCACCATACATGTCTCTTAAACCGATCTCTGCTCATCAGGTTCGTGATGGGTCAGTACGTGTCAGCTCATGGCGACGTGATCAGCCACGTGAACATCAGCAGCGTGCGTGTGGCTGACGGAGGATTGTATCAATGCACGGCTCACAACACGGCTGGTCAAGCGCATCATTCTGCTCGCCTCAACGTCTACGGACCTCCGACCATCCGCCACGTGGGGCAACTCACGGCCGTCGCAGGCCAAACCTTGAGTGTCACCTGCCCCGTCGGCGGCTATCCCATCGACAAAATTACCTGGCAAAAAGGTGTGTAAGAACATTGGCTTTTTAGTTACAAACCGACCCTCTACTTGTTTGAACTTTGAAAAGTACCTTAGATGCTCGAGCCTTCTAATATCGTGCTAGCTCTGTTTTGCTCCGTAGTGTTTACTCTCGTCATGCAGCTGCCTTTAACGCACGCCAACAACAGCTATTCAATATCTTCACAAACATCATCACTGTTGTATACAGATGGCTTACAGCTTCCGGCGACGCACCACCAGCGCGTGCACGCCAACGGGACGCTGACGATCGCTGCGATCACGCGGGCGGGTGACGAAGGCAGCTACTCCTGCACGGCGCTCGACAAGCAGGGCCGCTCCGACCACCAGACGCTCCACATTCAAGTCATGGGTAATTATTCGTTGCGAATGATCAAATCTGAACCATGATTCAGTAATTTTTTCACATAACTAATTCGTACTCTGGTATTCATGAATTGTATACACTTAAATTATGTCCATAAAATAATTTGGAACAATCTATACCTATCTATCTATCCGGCTGAAATTATGATACTAGTTTCTCATGGCTAAGTCAAGCCATTTAAATCAGCGCACTTTGTATGCACACTGAAAATTTCGTTCTAGTGCCTCCACGCTTGGCGCCCGTCGTGTTCGTTGGCGGTACGAGCGCAGGTCTGCCCGCTCAGGCAACGTGCATCGTGTTGAGTGGCGACAGCAATAACTGCTGCTGCATCAGGAGTGTTGATATCACAGCACAGTGAGATCTCCTCCACCTTGTCTATCGACCGCACGTCCGGCGAGCACTCCGGCAATTACACGTGCACAGCTTCCAATGGTGCGAGGACTACATCTTCTTCTGCTGCTCTCACCATCAACAGTGCGTTGCTCGTCGTCTTCGCGACTAATGATTATCTATTATGAATACTTTTCGACCACTTGTCTATCACAACCATTTTCTCCCTATTTTTTGCCAACTACATCGCTACATTCCCGAACTCAGAGGTTTCAGGAATGTTATTCGATTTTGATTTTCTGAGATTTTGTGAAAAAAATATATCTTATCCTTTGCGAGTATATGTGTCCATCAAATTAACAATGGTTCACCAAGAAAACAATTGGTTTCAGGTTTATTGATAGTTCATGAAGCTTTAAATTTATTCAAATATTGCTAGCTCTGATGAGTCTCTAATCCAATGTATGCATTTGATCATATTATTTTTTCATATAATCAAAATCAGTTCCCCCGACGTGGGTGGTAGAGCCCTCTGACGCGGATGTCTCGCTGGGCGCGTCTCTGGAGATACCCTGCAGCGCCAGCGGCTTCCCGACACCCAGTGTCACATGGAGGAAACAAACCCGTCAGTAAAGAACTTAGATGCCAACTTTACTTGACTAATTGCACTTAACTATATCTTGAACTTTTTATTTAAAACGATACTAAAAGATACGGACTGTTCGGTTCATGTAACTGTCTGTCTTTTTGAAAATTTCGTATGTGGCCAAATCCGTTCAGAAAATAAACGCGTCGACGAAAAATGAAAACCTCAAAATTTGTTGAAAAACCGGAACCCAAATGAAAATAGCTGTCTGCCACCATAAGTATTTTGTCCGTGTTATTCGAAAAAAACGCTTTATTAGAACTTTAACGTGTGACAGTTTACTTATGAAAGTTTATGAATATCCATTATTCATATGCGAAAGTTCATGAATATCCATTATTTCGTAACTAAACTGTCCGTTAAATATTTTTCAAATGGTCGGTCTGAGGAAGAATTTCCATCCAAGAAAATCTCACCAAGAATTTTTGAGCTTTGCGATGCTGAAACAATGAGCTCGATCTAGTCGCCCACACGATACGAGATGTCGCAATATGAACTCAACTCGGTAGGCAGGCTTAACATTCACGATTTACTTTTATTGGTAACCTGAAAGGCAATCTTTATCTCCTGATTTGATATGTTTCTTATTTGTATGCAATTCAAGGAGAAGTTCAGAGTAATTATTTGGGTATTTAATGTATTTGCCGTCGTACGTTCCCGCTCATATATCAAGTTTTAAAATACGGGAGATATCAAATCTGAGTTTTTATGAATACCGAACATATCTATAATAATAAAATACTAGACGTTCATAAAGAAAGACCGATGTGCAAAAATGGATATATAAATACTAAAATGTTACAATCAATTACATAAATTTTTTTTTTCACACTAAATACGGGGCCATTTTCAAACATCTGCCATCTGAGTCCAACTGTATGAATAAATCATATTGTCTGAATTGAATTGGTACGTTGTGTAGGCCAAGTCATTAGGCAAGTCTTTCAACCAGAGTTATGTAGTTATACGAAACTTGAACTTGGATGAATTAATGTGTATTAATCACACACGAATTATGAATATCTGTATCAAACAAAAATATCTGCATTAATCTGTTTTGATTAATATCAATCGCAATCAATCATCATCTGCAATTTTTTATTATATTTCCCTTTCTGTACTTAGTTTTCAGATTGCGGGTAAATTTCGCTGATGTCGCCATTATGACGCAACTCTCAAGTTTCTTTGACAGGCATGCACCGCTACATATCTCACTTTTATCGTCACCGAACAAATTTTCGATAAACAAATATTTTTTGATCGATTTTGTTACCTGAAACATTAACACACAAATTGGCTTTACAGATTTGCATGCCCCTGCAATAGTCTTGAAGAATTGAATTTCTGCAGATTCCGGGAACTGGCGAGACATCACTAGTGAGTCTACAAGAATACCTCAAGTGCATCAAGGAACAAAATCAACACAAACGAAATCCTTCGCAGGCGCTAGTTCAGCTGTCGAGCCGCTGTCTCTCTCTGAGCGCTTCCCAGCCCCCAACGTAATGCAAGTTTGGCAACAAAAAACCACCGTAAAAGCTCTTACACGAGTGGGTTTACAAAGAGAGTCTTCAGCGGGGCAGGACAGCTCTGGCAGCTCACTCATAATTGCCAAGGCAGCTAAAGAAGACAACGGACGCTATTTGTGCGCAGCAAACAATGCTGAAGGCCCCGGACTCTCGAAGCTCGTCACGGTAACTGTCCTAGGTAGGTCCGATGCTGAAATTTCTGTTACTAGTGTGGTTTGTATTGTCTTTGTGTGCTGATGCTCTATAAATAAAGCCTGTTGTTTTTACAGTCGTGCTTTTAACTTTCATTTAGCAGCCGAATTTGTATTTAATGTCTCTTTTATGTTATGCGTGTAGGAGTTGATACCTAGTTTTAACGCTTATTTATCATTTCCTGAAACTAATGATTAAAGCTCATCAAATAGAAAACTTGCTAAATCAATTCATTTTATTGTTAAAATATTTTCATTTCATTTAAGAACATTCTTGAACCTAATTATATCCACGAAGGTAGGAATTTAAACTGCAAAACATAAATGCTTAAGAAAGAAAAATCTTTTGCTATTGGTTGAAAATCGTGACTAGACCCAGATATGGACCCAAATTACATTTTTTGTCACATATCATTCACTTGATTATTTTAATGGAGTCTACTACCCAATTTTCAAATCTTTTCTACCTCGTTCTTCCGAACTCTCCTGTAATGTGCGGCCGGGATATTGGTAAGGTTCAACGCTCTGCCGGGCGACCCTCGCAGCGCCATTATTGCGCCCTTTTCCTGGCCCTGTTTCTGAATCTTCACGGCCGTAGCACTTGTTAGAGATAGATGAATTAATCATCACTGCCGTAGTGCTATGTTAGAGATAGATGAATTGGATATTCTTCCATGGCTCGGTTCTACTTGTATGCGGCTGTATCTGCCACTGCCTGCGTCGGGCTCGGCTCTCATTTTTACTTTTGGCTCGGTGTTTTCTTCACAAAACTAAAGCACTGAAGCCTCGCAAAAATAAAGTATAACTAAAATTTTATTTTTATTGTGATTTTATGCCTCAACTCCACGTTTCCCACAGAGCCTCCATGGTTTCCCGTACGCGGGCGCGAGGTGACGGCCCAGGTGCGAGGAACTGCTGTGTTGGAGTGCAGTGTTAGAGGAGACGCGCCGCTGGCGGTGCAATGGCGCAGAGACGGCCAAGTCCTGCCACTAATCGGCTCAAAGTAATACAGCATTTTTAATAATTTATTTATAGATTTTAAAATAGGTTTTGCTCATAGATATAAGTTCACTTTTTAGGCCCATGAAGGCTCGAGTCAATGTCTGCAAGCATTTGAACTTTTAAATAGTCTCATGTAAGTGTGGCCGTAAATAGCCATATATTTCTTCCTTAGATCTTCCTTATCTTCTTGCCGCATTTCTAACTTTGTTCCACATTCCCACAGGTACAGCGTTGAACAAGAACACGGGGAAGAAACCACAAAGTTGAAGTTGATACTGAATGACGCATTGGCTTCTGATGGCGGAGCCTACGAATGTCAGGCATCGAACCTGCATGGCTCAAACAGCTTGGTTTACTCCCTAGTCGTGCGAGGTAAGAAACTGATTATCTTCGACAGTTGTAGAAAATCGTTTTCTTTTGTTTGTGCATTTTTAATTCTGCGGCAAGATAACTTAACACGGAACGCACAGACTTGATACTCGGAATTCGAATCAGGAAAGCAAATACAATGCATGTGTTGTCTGGTAAAGACCAAACGAGTACTCATACCGACCAGTAGTTTAATTTGGTAACAGGGCCTAATAAAGCCAGGAATAAATCTTTTCTATTTTATAGTCGGCTCCGCTAACATCTTGTAGAGATTCAACGTACCAAAATTCCGACTGACACTTTAATTTGATTTTAAGAGTTGCTCAAAATGAAATTTGCAGAAGGTAAAAATCAAAATCTTTCATTTTTTCCAGTTTTTATTATCAACAGGAAAAGTTTCACCTTGTCAAAATTTAGTTTCATCTTTTCCTCTTGGAAATCAGACACTGAGATTATGACTGTGCCTTAACGAACAAAGTCAGATCTCATTTCTCACCCTTCACCCAATTTTCATCATTGAGTCATTATTGAGTTAATTGTTTTGGTAGCGTGCCTGCTTTCCATTGGCTCCATTGTCCTTGCCGTTGAAGGCGTTTGTCTCTTGATCAACCGCAGTGAGGATAACATGAACTTCTCAAAAAAACTTCTTTTTCATGAAAACAAAAATTGCCATTCGCTTTCGATTACAGAAACTACTAAAGTTATCAAAATCAAAATCGTTTTAGTTATTTATAGTCCAAAAGTCCTTAATTTTCTCCCGTCTTTCGTCGTTAAATTATTCCAAACTTGTAAAACTACTTTTGAATTATAGGTTCGAAATTAGTACTACTTCGAGGAGACCAAAGATATGAAATAAAATCAATTTTTTTATAAAATGCTGGCATAGGAAGTGCAATTGATTACTTAGAACTCTAACAATCTACAAATTTATAAATTGTATTTTTCCACTTTTTTTCAGAAATCTTTCTATCATATTATTTTCATTTCAGGATAAGTCAAAGGAGAGAACGGGCGCACAGGCATTGTCTTATCACTTCAGAATTGCCAGTAACAAACAAATTTGAATTAATTTAAAGCGAATACTTAGAATTAAAGTAATTACAATTTTTACTAAACACTTTTTGATATACATAAAATACACGTGTGTCGTACTAAAAGCACGCCCCGAATTGTCTAATGTAAGGTACTATATTCTATTATAGCAGTAAAATGAAAATTAAATGCTCTAAAGATGATCATGGTATTATGGTTTGCTTAAAACTTCATTGACATTTTATGTACGAGCTTACGCATTATGAAGGTAACCACATTGAAGGACCTAATACACAATTATCCCATTATTAATCTATTTAAAAAACATTTAATAGATTTGATCTCAAACCGTATTATATGCCAGATGTCCCGTCAGCGCCAAGTGACGTCAAAGTTTCAGAGAAAGGAGCTCGTTTTATAGCTCTTGAATGGTCTGCTTCTGCTGAGCGTGCCTCCGTACCTGAGTCATCAGATATCAACTTTATCGTTTTCTACGCCACTGTTGAAGGTATTATTTTGAGACTATACTTTCGTATGATTAGTTTTCAGATGTTTTGGTTTTGCCTTCAGAAGTCTATTTATATCTTGGTCTCATAAATTCTTGTGAACTGTTTTTACTTAGTGCCTATCTGTCCGTTAGCCGCTATTTATTTGTAAAACGAATATTTCTACTACAATTTACTCAGTGCCCATTTTTCCGTCAGCCGCCATGTATTTATAAAACATATATTTCTACCGCAAAGGTTCATATAAAGAAATAAAAGTCCCGACCAACTTCGCCCGAATCACCGGTCTTGATCCCGCGACGCGTTACTTGTTGCGCGTGGCGGCCGAGAACA